ATGCCCACTGGAACCATGTCCAATATGGGGCCCTGAGACAGAAATTGCAGGTACTTTGGGGTAGGATCTGACTTCCTTCAATAGTGGTGGTTGTTTGTGTTTATACATGGATTGGAAAGGTTCAGTTTGAGACCTACCTTGTAGTGTCAGGGTGGTATCTTGCTAATGGATCTGGAGAGACAGACAAAGCCCTGCATAAATAACATGAGTTATTGTTAGTAAACAGTGGACTGTAATTATAAAAGGCATTAGAGAAAGAAAACATGGTGGTTTTTTCTATTTCTACTGCTTTCCCTGTTGGTTTTGCTCTGAGCTGCCTTTGGAATTTAGCTGATTGATTTTGTTTTCGGACCATGAGGTGTAGATAAAGAGGTTTGGTCTTCCTCCCATTTAACAGAACATGAGAGGGCTTTTTGAGCTTCATCCTCCAGAATTCTCTCGAGTTCCATCCAAAGGCTAAAAACAGCTAAAGCTCAGGGAGAATAAGCTAGTTTAAAAACTACACTCAGTCGAGTTGCTTTAGGAGAAAACAAGTCTCAGTAGGTGTAAAGATTTTTAAATTCTTCTTTTTTTTTTTTAAAGTCTACAAATAATGGATTTCCAACTTTTAGTGCTTGAATCTCTGTTACTGAAAGCCCTGAGGCTTAATTTACAATTATTAATCGTTCCTTCATTACTCAAGATATCCTCTTTTTTTTTTTCTTTTTAAAAATTACTGTTAAATTATGAAAAAAGATCAAACATATGAAGTGGTTCAGAGAATAAGATAACAAACAGTCATAAAAGCCACCATCTGGATTTAATGAATATTAACATTTTGCCATATTTGCTTCAATACGTCTTCCTTTAAAGAATGAAATGTGGCAGATACAGTTGAAGTTCCTTTGGTCTCTCTGTTGGCGCCAGTTCCCCTGCTCCCTACTCTGCTCCCCCAGAGGTAACGTCTGTCCTCAGCTTGATGTGGTTCCTTCGCATCCATGCTTCTGTACTTTTATTCCATTTATGTGTGTCCACAACAGTAGACACACTTGTTTTGTGTAGGTTCAAATGTATACCAATGGCATTGTCCTATTGGTATGCTGATACTTTTTTTTTTTCTTTTTAGTTCTAGCATTATAGTTTGGTGTTTGTGTGTGAAGGCTGAATTCCTACATTTCAACAAGTATATAGCATCACATTTTATAACTATTTCACAATTTATTCATTCCTCTCATTGTTGGGCATTTGGGTTATTTACAAATGTTTGCTGTTATGATCATTGCCATGTTGAACATTTGAAACATGGTTTCTTCTGCAATGGTTGGAAGATTTTCCCCCCTGCAAATACCTAGGGGTGGAATCTGGGAGGTACAGTTATTGCTGTCGCTCAGTCATGTCTGACTCTCTGTGACCCCATGGACTGCAGCATGCCTGGCTTCCCTGTCCTTCACCATCTCCCAGAGCTTGCTCAAACTCATGTCCATTGAGTCAGTGATGCCATCCAACCATCTCACCCTCTGTTGTCCCCTTCTCCTGCCTTCAATCTTTCCCAGCATCAGGGTCTTTTCTAATAAACTGGCTCTTTGCATCAGGGGCCAAAGTATTGGAGCTTCACCTTCAGCATCAGTCCTTCCAGTGAATATTCAGGATGCATCTTTAACTCAATCAGAGGTTGCCAGATACCATCGAATTTTCATTGCTTCCAGAAGTATAGATGGAAGGAGTTGTCATTAACTGAGACACCGAACAGGATTGAGGGTGAATGTCAGAAGCTCAATTTTGTCAATGGACAAGAGGACCTGAGGTTCACGGGTGAGATTCATACTGGACACACCCATTTGGGATCATTCACAAAGAGATGGTAGGTGAAACCATGAGATGTGCTGAGATAACCAAGGGGGGACATGCAAGGGCTAAGCTATGGGACACACGGGTGGTTGAAGGTTCAGGAGTGGAGAAGAAGCCAGTGAAGGAGGCTGAGAAAAAGCAGCCTGAGAGGCAGGAAGAGAATCAAGCAGGTGTGGTGTCCAGAGGAGAAAGCATTTAAAGGAAGAAAGAGTTAACCATCCATTGTGCCTAAAGCTGCCAATAGGTCATCTAAGACAAGGATTGAGAATTCACTCTTGGGTTTAGTACCATGAATGTCTGGTTTCCAGAAGTCTCGATAAGAATAGTTGCAGTATTGTATTCCTGTATGTTACCCATAACATTCCAGAAGTTTCCACTGCTGCTTTACATTTAAGATCGAAGTGAAAATGCCTGTTACAGACTAGCCTAGAGAAACAACTGGCCCCTTAAAAATTTTTTTGGACTGGGTATATCTCATAAAGAAGGCGAATGGTTTGGTTTTGTTTTTGCTGAAATCTTGAAGCATAGAATTCATCTGTGGAAAATGTCAAAGTCAATGTGACTTAGCTGTAGCTACATTTAATTCTCATACAAAGGACTTCCATTCTTAGAATAATATGGTGCATTCAACCACATTTTAAGGCTAAACAGCTCTTCAGGAGAGGGAGTTAGGAGAGATCAGATACAAATAGAATGAAAGAAGGTACAAATGATGTTGAATGGAATAGGAATCTCATAGTGTTCTTTCTTTAAACTGGGGTATAATTGCTTTACAATGTTGTATTAGTTTCTGCTGTACAACGAAGTGAACCAGCTTTATGTGTGCATATATCCTCTTCCTCTTAGACCCTCTGTATCCCAGCACTTTGGCCATCTGATGCAAAACACTGACTCATTAGAAAAGACCTTGATGCTGGGAAAGATTGAGGGCAGATGGAGAAGGGGACGACAGAGGATGGGATAGTTGGATGACATCACCAACTCTACAGACATGGGTTTGAGCAAGCTCCGGGAGTTGGTGATGGACAGGGAAGCCTGGCATGGTGCGGGTACATTGGGTTGCAGAGTCGGACACGACTGAGCAACTGAACTGATCCCACCCATGTAGGCCAACACAGAGCACTGAGATGAACTCCCTGTATTGTATAGCAGGTTCCCACTAGCTATCTGTTGTACATGTAGCAGTGTATTAATTCCAGTCTCCCAGCTCATCCCCTCCCCCCACCTCATGTCCGCACATCTGTTCTGTATGTCCTTGTCTCTATTCCTGCCTTACAAATACGTTCATCTGTACCATTTTTTCTAGATTCCATATATATGCGTTAATATACAGTATTTGTTTTTCTCTTTTAGCCCTGCTTCACTCTATATGACAGTCTCTCGGTCCATCCATGGCTCTACAAATAGAATATTACTCAGCCAGAAAAAGGAATGAAATTGGGTCGTTTTTATTTTTGGTCTTTAAATAAGATTGATTTATTTGTTTTTGGCTGTACTGGGTCTTCATTGCTGCACACAGGCTGCACAAGAGTGAGCAGGGGCTATTCTTCCTTGTGGACCACCAGGGAAGCCCTGGTCATAGTGTTTTTACAGTAGCTGTTCTTGGGTGTGGTCCTCAGGCCCCTGGTGGCCCCTCATGACTTTTGGGTTTTGCAAGGTCAAAGCTGTTCTCTTGATAACTTTGCCTTCTTTCACTGTGACACATCGGCACTCATGGTGGGGAAAGCAAAGGCCAGTGAACATGTTGGTGCCATAGTGTGAATCAGGGCAGTATGACCGGCCCAGGCTACTGCCACTGTGTTCCTCACCACGACCCGCTCAGTAAAGAGTAGAAAGAAAAAGCCAGTTTCACTTGAAAATGTGCTCGATGAAGCAGTAAAGTGACTAATATTCTGTGTGATGAAAATGGAAAATATGCCTAAAACACCTTTTCCTGTGTACCACAGTATAATGGCTGTGTTGAGAAAAAGCACTTGTATGACTGAATCGAGAGCTGAATTATATAGTTGCTTTTCTCATGAAATACCATTTTTGCTTTATAAAAAAATCAACAGACAAACTAACGTTAATAGATTTGGGAGTTTGGCAGACATTTTCCTGAAGATGAATGAAGTGAGCCTGTCACTTCAAGGAAAACAACTGACAGTACTTGTTGCTAATGATAAAATGTGAGTTTTAAGTGAAAATTAGAAATTTTGGAGCCCTTACATCTACCACAAAGATCTTGACAGCTTCCCAGCACTCAAAAACTTGTCTGGTGAGATCAGCGGTGGCATTCACAAATGGAGTTTTTTTGGACAGAATGTGATGAAACATGCCAGCATCTGGACTATCTACAGCCCTCAATGGACCAATATTTTCCAAATGACCATGTTATGCAATTATGTATGAGTAAAAAGATCCATTCAGAAGGCAAGATAGACTTCTGCTTCTAGCCAAGATGGAGTGATGGGGGTACCTTATGGCTGATGTTGTCAATCAAGAATTATTTCATGTGCTTATTGGCCTGGTGCATGTGCACATGCAGGTGATCACAGGGTAGTCAACTGAATAACTGTGGGCCTTTGGGATCAGAAGACGTAGATTGAATCCTGGCCTGTCATTTCCTTGTCCAATAAGCACACTTATTGGTATATCTTCTTTAGAGAAATGTTTATTAAAGCTTCTGTCCATTTGTTTATTTTTGGCTGCACTGGGCCTTTGTTGTGAAGTGGGCTTTCTCTGTCATGGGCTTTCTCCAGTTGTGGCAGGCAGGTTTTTCTTGTGGACCACGGACTCTAGAGCTCACCGGCTCAGTAGTTGTGGCGTGTGGGCTTAGTTGCCCTGCAGCATGTGGAATCTTAGTCCCCTACTTTTTTTTTTTTAATTGTTGAACTGTGACTTTATTTATAGAGATATTATTTTAGGCTCTCCCTCCTTAAGACTCGGATGTAGCAGTGTTGTGTCCTCAGCTCATCCAAGTCCTACCAGATTCAGTAGTCATTGCGAGAGAGGCAGACAGACATCTCTCGGCCGGAAGCAGCATGGCTGCTGATGGCTGCAGTTGCTTGGATGTTGCTATTTTCTTGCTTCTGTCTCTTTAAACTCAGATATTAAGATTGAGCTCAGTTCCTCAGTCTCTTATCAGATGTCCTCTAATCTGCTGCTGTGTCTTTCAGTGTCCTGGTGATGACATGGCATCTGCCAGCTCCAGCCGGGCAGGGGTGGCCCTGCCTTTTGAGAAGTCTCAGCTTATCCTGAAAGGTGAGTGGCACGGTATGAAGTTTATCATTTAAGGCCCAGCCCCATCTTTGGGAAAGAGGTGGAATTATACCACATCTTGGCTTATGAGCAAAACTATTCATTCTTACAAGGTTGTCATATTGTAGCTGGAATTCTTAATTTTTTTAAGAATTAAAACATTTTTTTTGGCTGTACCATGCAGCATGTAGGGTCTTAGTTCCCTGACCAGGGATCGAATGTGCACCCCCTGTGTTGGAAGTGTGGAGTCTCAAGCACTGAATTACCATGGAAGTCCCCTAAAGTTGGACTTCTTGCAGAGGAAGGAAAAAAAGGAGATTTTCGGAAGAACTGTACAAAATGGCAGTTCCTTCCCTCCCCAGGGCTCTTTTCTATCTACGCTCTTCCCCTTGGTGAGTTCATCCAACCGTATCACTTTAAGATGTCACCAGTAATAAGATTACTGCCACATTTGTACCTCCAACCTGGCCTTGTTTCTGACCTCCAGGTTTGTATATCCAGTAGCCCATTTGTCATCTCCACCAGAATGCTTAGTAAACATCTAAAATGTGACAGGCCTGGAACTGACCTCCTGATTTATTTTTTTTCTCAAAATCCTGTTTTCAGCAAATCTGCTTGTGTCTATCCTCAAAACTGGGGCCATGTTCAGCCACTTCTCACCACCCCCACCATCCCACCAGCTGGCATCATCTCCACCTTAGATTAAGGCAGAAGCCTCCCAACCCGGCTTTCTGCTTCTTCCCCTTGCCCCACTTCATTCTGTTGATCACACAGCAACCCGTGATCTCCTTAAAATGGAAGCCAGCTCCTGTCACTCCTCTGCTCAAACATATCAAGGACTGTTTCCCTCATTCAGTGTACAAGTTGAAGATCCCGCAAAATACGACCCCTGCCACTCCTCATTTCCTGTTCCACGTTTTACTCCGCTCTGGCTAGACGCACAGGTCCATGTGGACCTCCCTTGCTATTCATTGCCCCTGCCAGGCACGCTGCCATCCCTAGGCCTTTGCACTTGCTATCCTCTCTGAGTGAAATAACCATTTTGGCCCAGTTATCTACCTAGTCTACATCCTTACTTTCTGCAGGTCTTTACCCCAAAGTCACCATGTTCAACTAGGCCTTCCCTGACCCCCCCATCTGAAGACCCCCTACCTTGATTTCTTCATGTCTCTCCTCTTTTTGCTACTTTATCTTTTTATTCTCAGCCCCTGGTAGTAGTTAACATTCTACCTATATTTTATTTTATTTTTTTTACAATTATTCATTTATTTGGCTGCACAGGGTCTTAGTTGTGGCACTTGGGAGAAGGATTAGAGTGAACTGCCAGGGTTTTGAATTTGAGATTACAGCTTGTACTGCCTTATCTCGTAATTAGCAGGACTAGGTCAAAACAGAAGCCTGCCCATGGAAACCTGTGATATCCTGAGGTCCCTCTTTTGGGGCCATGTTATTCAGGAACACAACACACTGACTTCTAAAGGTTTCTCTGTTGCCTTTCCCCAGTGTGTATTTTCTTACTAGTGTGGTGAGAACTAACTTGATAATACAGGTGCATCTCATCATACATGCACTTAACCTATAGGAACTTGGTAATACCAACCAGGAAAATGGTGGGGGAAAGAGAGAAGGATAAAACAGCCACTTAAACATTGTCGGTGGTTCTTTCCTCCCATGTATTTCCAACCAGGAAAATGGTGGGGGAAAGAGAGAAGGATAAAACAGCCACTTAAACATTGTCGGTGGTTCTTTCCTCCCATGTATTTCCAACCAGGAAAATGGTGGGGGAAAGAGAGAAGGATAAAAACAGTCACTTAAACATTGTTAGTGCTTCTTTCCTCCCATGTATTTCATGGATGGAGCCTCAGGTATAATTAGGGAACTGTGGCCTGCTGTTCCCTCTATCTGCCTTAATTCTCTGTGCCTCTCCATTGTGCAGTCCTAGAGATTTTTAAAAAATTTTATTGGAGTGTAGTTGATTTACAATGTTGTATTGGTTTCATAAACCAACACATAAACATAATAGTTATACATAAACATATATCTACTCTTTTTTTCTTTTAATTTCTTTAATTGGAGACTAATTACAATATTGTGGTGGTTTTTGTGATACATCGACATGAATCAGCCATAAGTGTTCATGTGTCTCCCATCCTGAACCCCCCTCCCATCTCCCTCCCTACCCCATCCCTCTGGATTGTCCCCAAGCACTGGCTTTGAGTGCCCTGCTTCATGCATCGAACTGACACTGGTCACCTGTTTTACATATGGTAATATACGTGCTTCAATGCTGTTCTCTCAAATGATCTCACCCTCGCCTTCTCTCACAGAGTTCAAAAGTCTGGTCTTTACACCTGTGTCTCTTTTGCTGTGTTGCATATAGGGTCGTTGTTACTGTCTTTCTAAATTCCATATATATGTGTTAATATGCTGTTTGGTGTTTCTCTTTCTGACTTACTTTGTATGATAGGCTCCAGTTTCATCCACCTCATTGGAACTGACTCAAATGCATTCTTTTTTTTTTATAGCTGAGTAATATTCCACTGTGTACATGTACCACAGCTTCCTTATCCATTCGTCTGCCGATGGACATCTAGGTTGCTTCCATGCCCTAGTTATTGTAAACAGTGCTGCAGTGAACATTGGGGTACATGTGTCTCTTTCAGTTCTGGTTTCCTTGGTGTGTATGCCCAGCAGTGGGATTGCTGGGTCATTTGACAGTTCTGTTTCCAATTTTTTAAGGAATCTCCACACTGTTCTCCATAGTGGCTGTACTAGTTTGCATTCCCACCAGCAGTGTAAGAGGGTTTGCTTTTTCCCATACCCTCTCCAGTACTTATTGTTTGTAGACTTTTTGGTGGCAGCCATTCTCACCAGCATGAGATGGTGCCTCATTGTGATTTTGATTTGCATTTCTCTGATAATGAATGATGTCAACATCACTCATGTGTTTCTTAGCCATCTGTGTGTCTTCTTTGGAGAAATGTCTGTTTAGTTCTTTGGCCTACTTTTTGATTGGGTCATTTATTTTTCTGATATTGAGTTGCATGAGCTGCTTATATATTTTGGAGATTAATTCTTTGTCAGTTGTTTCATTTGCTGTTATTTTCTCCCATTCTGAAGGCTGCCTTTTCACCTTGCTTATAGTTTCCTTTGTTGTGCAAAAGCTTTTAAGTTTAATTAGGTCCCATTTGTTTATTTTTGTTTTTATTTCCATTACTCTGGAAGGTGGGTCATAGAGGATCTTGCTGTCATTTATGTCAGAGAGTGTTCTGCCTATGTTTTCCTCTAAGAGTTTTATAGTTTCTGGTCTTACATTTAGATCTTTAATCTATTTTGAGTTTATTTTTGTGTATGGTGTTAGAAAGTGTTCTAGTTTCATTCTTTTATAGGTGGTTGACCAGTTTTCCCAGCATCACTTGTTAAAGGGATTGTCTTTTTGCCATTGTATTTTTTTGCCTCCTTTGTCAAAGATATGGTGTCCATAGGTGCATGGATTTATCTCTGGGCTTTTTATTTTGTTCCATTGATCTATATGTCTGTGTTTGTGCTAGTACCATACTGTCTTGATGGCTGTAGCTTTGTAGTATAGTCTAAAGTCAGGCAGATTGATTCCTCCCGTTCCATTCTTCCTTCTCAAGATCGCTTTGGCTATTCGAGATTTTTTGTATTTCCATACAAATTATGAAATTATTTATTCTAATTCTTTGAAAAATACTGTTGGTAGCTTGATAGGGATTGTATTCAGTCTGTAGATTGCTTTGGGTAGTATACACATTTTCACTATACTGATTCTTCCAATCCATGAACATGGTATATTTCTCCGTCTATTTGTGTCATCTTTGATTTAAAAAATATGGAATGCTTCATGAATTTGCGTGTCAGCCTTGTGCAGGGGCCACGCTAATCTTAGTATATGGGCTGCTAATGCGAGCACTATCCACTCTTTTTAAAGACTGTTTTCCTATATAGGTCATTACAGAGTGTACTGAGTAGTATTCCTTGTGCTATAAGTAGGTCCTTATTAGTTATCTCTTTTATATATAGTAGTATGTATATATGTCAATCCCAGTCTCCCAGTTTACCCTTTCCCTAGTCCTAGAGTTTTAAAATCTAATTTTAAAGACACCAAGGCCCTCAAATGTAAGCCAACTATTTTATGATATTTAGCTGAAGGAACACCAAAAACAGCACAGCAAAGCAAAAATCTGGCTGTTTGGAATCTATTGAAGGATAATATGCGACCCTCTCTTCTGTTGCCTTCCTAGGAGCTCTTCAGGGATGTCATTTTGGAAATATGTGATTTTTACCTTATTTGTTAACTTTAAAATTTAAATGCTATGTGAAGATTTGACTCCATGTATAAGAAACTGGCATTTTATGTTTCCTCAAATAGTGAATAAATAAACTGTAGATGAATGTGAGACCTTTATTTTGACTTATCTTTTAAGAACAAGAAACATTTAAAATACCGTTTTAAGCATTGAAAATTAATTAATTATAAATTATTGAAAGGAAATGTATCTTTACAGTGAAGTGACCTGGTAAACTGGGCCCACATTAACCACAGGATCAAAATTAGCATCCCCAATAAGGGGATTGCCTGGTGTATACAGTAAATCTACATCCTAACCTGCATGGTTAAGGCTTCCCTGGTGGCTCAGAGGTTAAAGCGTTTGCCTGCAATGCGGGAGACCCGGGTTCGATCCCTGGGTCCCTGGGTCGGGAAGATCCCCTGGAGAAGGAAATGGCAACCCACTCCAGTATTCATGCCTGGAGAATCCCATGGAGGGAGGAGCCTGGTAGGCTACAGTCCATGGGGTCGCAAAGAGTCGGACACGACTGAGCGACTTCACTCACTTGCTAATTCAGGATTCAGGAAATTCAGGAACCTGCGTGGTTAGTATTCTTGACAAAAATGTTCAATGTGCATCTAACCACGAGGGAACAATCAGAAAAATGCAGGATTCAGTGGGTTCTATGAGACATCTGGTGGAAGTCTTTAAAAATCACTGTCATGGAAGAAGAAGGGAGTGCATTCTAGGTGTTAAAAGATTAAGGAGACAGCAACCGAAAATAATTTATGCATCTTGTTTGGATCCTGGGTTGGGGGAGAAACAGCTTTAAAAATATATTTAGAATAATTGGGGAGATTTGAATATGGAATGGATATCAAATGAAGGAGGGAGTGACTGTACATTTTTTTTTAAGTATGATAACAGTGAGGTAGAGGTGGGGTGGGAGAATGTCCTTATTGTTAGCAGTTGCTTTCTGAAAGTAATTTGGGCTGATCTGTCATGAGGTCTACAACTTACTTTCAAGTAGTTTACCAAAAAATTAAAATGTGTGGATATATATGTATATACATACACATATAGACATAGATGTCTTACATCTGTGTCTTGTGCTATCCAACAGGTTAGAAAGTGTAGCCACAAGTAACTATTTACATTAAAATTCAAATTAAATAAAATTTATTAAAGCTCAAGTCCTCAGTCTCACTAGCATAGTTTAAGTGCCTTGTAGCCATGTGTATATTGCAGCAGTGTATTGAACAGTGATGGAGCGGATATTTTCATTATTGTAGAGGTTCTCTGGGTAACATTGGTGATAGTCACAGAGAGGGGGGGGAAAAGTGAATGTAGCAAAATAACAATTGGTGAAGAGTATGCTATTATTTTTCTTCAATTTTTCTGTAAATTGGAAACTTCATGGTAAAAACACTAACTACAGTATGTGACGGAGAAGGCAATGGCACCCCATTCCAGTACCCTTGCCTGGAAAATCCCATGAATGGAGGAGCCTGGTAGGCTGAAGTCCATGGGGTCGAGAAGAGTCGGACACGACTGAGTGACTTCCCTTTCACTTTTCACTTTCATACACTGGAGAAGGAAACGGCAACCCACTCCAGTGTTCTTGCCTGGAGAATCCCAGGGGTGGGGAAGCCTGATGGGCTTCCGTCTATGGGGTCGCACAGAGTCAGACACGACTAAAGGTACCTAGCAGGAGCAGCAGCAGCACACTATGTGATCTTAGCTTGCATTGGGACTAGAAAAAAATCTTTCCTTTTCTCTTTTGCTATAATGGATATCGATAAGATAATTGGCAAAATTTGAATAATGTCTGTACCTTAGATAATAGATAATAGTACAGTGTTGATAATTGTACTATGGTTCTGTTAGAAAATGTCATAGTTATTAGAAAAGACAGCCTGAGATATTTAGGACTAAAGGGGCATAGTGTCTACAACTCACTCTTCAGTTCAGTCGCTCAGTCGTGTCCGACTCTTTGCGACCCCATGAATCGCAGCATGCCAGGCCTCCCATCACCAACTCCTGGAGTTTACTCAAACCCATGTCCATCGGGTCGGTGATGCCATCCAACCATCTCATCCTCTGTCGTCCCCTTCTCCTCCTGCCCCCAATCCATCGCAGCATCAGGGTCTTTTCCAGTGAGTCAATTCTTCGCATGAGGTGGCCAAAGTACTGGAGTTTCAGCTTCAGCATCAGTCCTTCCAATGAACACCCAGGACTGATCTCCTTTAGGATAGACTGGTTGTTTTAGTTAAAAATGAGTATGTGTATGAGAGAAAATCAAGGGAGAAAAAGAAAATGATAAAGCAGATACAGTGAAAAGTTAATGTTTGCTGATTCTGGGTGAAGGGTTTATAAGAATTCTTTGTATTAGTCTCACAACTTTTCTCAACATCTGAAATTATATATATATATGTATATACACACATTTTATATATATATATGTATATATATATTTTAAGTAAATACTAAAAAACAAGGACCAGAACTTATCTGGTGGTCCGGTGGCTAAGACTCCGTGTTCCCAGTGCTGGGAGCCTGGGTTCCATCTCTGATCAGGGAACTGGATCCCACATGCCGCAACTAAGACCTAGAGCAGCCAAATAAATAAATATTTAAACAAACAAAAAAGAAGGGCCAAAAGGAAGCATGATGGCAGAGTTCACAGAACTGGCCCAGGAGCTGGGAGACTTGGTTCAAGGTTGAGCACTGCTCTGACTAGCTCTCTGATTTTGGTTACATTGTCTTACCTCTCTGGATCTTAGTCGGCCCAACTGTTAAATAAAAGGCTTTACTTGTTGATTTCAAAGAAACTGTCTTGCTCTAAATGACAGGTCTCTGCAAGTAGTCCCTGTTTTCTTTTTACTTATGGGTCTGCGTGCAGAGCTACTCTCATCCCGCTAGGTGGCCTCAGTTAGCCTCCATGTCTGTGTGTCTCATGTCCCTACCCTGGGCCACATTTCCCAGCACTACAACCTTTCTTCCTAGGGCCATCCGTTGTTGCTTCTGAAACTCCACCACAGCTTCATTGCTGTTGTTCCTTGACTTCTCTCTCCTGTTTTCTGGGGCCTGGAGAAGACAAGGATTGCTAGGAGAGAATCAGAGGTGGCTTTGCCCTGTCCCAGAGGTGGCTTTGTGGACCCTTAAAGGATTGTCACCCCTCAGAAGGATCTGGGAGGGAGAAGTATGCTAACTTTTGGTGGGGGCTCAGGCTCAGGCAGTCTTGTCATCACTGGTGAGGATCGTCAGTTATATCTTCTGATTTGGGGCATAGGGTAGAAGCCAGGTAGATGGGTTTTGTCCTAGTGACCTGCAGTTTCCACTGTGACTGATACATAGTATAAAAGGAGCTTGTCTAGCATCCAGCCCTGGGCATATGCTTGCTTAGGTGGTACTGAGTCCCTGGCTAGCCAGTACCATGTGAGCATCAGAAATGCTGCTACACAAGGAAATGAACAGATGCAGATGGTTAACAAGTACATGGGAAAAATATCAATCCGGCTAGTGACTGAAGAAACAAATGAGAACAAATAAGCAAAGTCCGGTCATGACGTACGGCATGGTGTGGAGTCAGGCAGCCAGAGGCACATCCTGGCTCGAAGCTCCTGGATGTGTAGCCTGGGGAAGTGACCTAGCTTCCCCAAGCCTGTTTCCTCATGGGGGAAATGGAGTGATGATGTTATTTCCTGCCTCACTGTAAGGATTCGGTGAGATAACATGTGCACAGCATAGTATCTGTAATAAGTGCTCATTAACTCTTAGCTGTTATCTTTATGCTATTTTTTTTTTGATTTGCGAAGAGTGAAAAAAAAACAGTGCTCAGTGCTATGCAGTGTTTGGTGAAATAGACATGTTCCTGTAGTACTGATGGGTATCTACGTGGGTTTAAAAAGGAATTGAGTGGTTTTAAGAACTTTAAAAAATGTTCGTATCCTTTGGAAGAATACTCAGAAATGCATGCAGATACTTTATACATTTGTGGTCGTTTTCCCTGAGCCAAAAGTTGGAGGCAATTTATTCAAAAATGGAAGAATAGTTCACTAATGGCATATCCTTATAAATGGGCTTAGGTTGTAGCTTTTGAAATGAATTTTGGGAGGAGAGGAGTTTTTAAGGAATTAGGGACATAGGAGATGAAAATCCAGAAAAAGTCTGTATTTACCAGATATCAGAAAAAGTCTTATATCACTTAATGATAATCATCCCAGTGTTTTCAGGTTAGGAGTGATTTTTTTCCTTATCTTCTTTGCTTGTGCTATATATATTTTTATATCCTCACATTTTAAAAAAGTCTTTTTAGAATGAAGAAAAAGCAAAATTTCTTTTTTTAAAGGAAACAACAAAAAAGAGGGAGAACATGTGCCACAGGGGGGCAGTTGGGAGCCCTCTGACTCATCCTTGACTTTTTCTGTCTTTCCCGGCCAGTGGTGTCAGCAAAGCCCAAGGTGCATAGTCGTCAACCTCGAATTAACTCGTTTGTGGAAGTGGCCGTGGATGGACTCCCCAGCGAGACCAAGAAGACTGGAAAGCGAATTGGGAGCTCCGAGCTTCTGTGGAATGAGATCATCATTTTGTAAGAGAAAACCCCTTCTCTCCGAATGCAGCCCCCCTGGGGAAGGTCAAGATGGGGGTTGTGGGAGATCCAGGTTTTGTGTATCAGCCTCCAGTCCTCTGCCTTGGGTACCCAAGGCACCGTCTCTTCAGGTGTTTTTACATCGTCGAGCTCACAGAGCATTCATTGTTTGCTAGATGGTTACATGGTCAGCTTGGGTGGGGGTGGGGTGGGGAAGGGTATCTGTGACTGTCTTCCTCTTTGAGGTCCCCTCCTCGTCTCTAAGATGACAGCAGTATAATTTCTCTGCCTTCTTCTAAGTTACAGGAATGACTGGTCTGCTTGGATGTGATGAATCAAGTATTTGTTTTCCAGGAATGTCACAGCCCAGAGTCATTTAGACCTGAAGGTCTGGAGCTGCCATACTTTGAGAAATGAACTGCTAGGCACCGCCTCCGTCAACCTCTCCAATGTCCTGAAGAACAATGGGGGCAAAAGTATGTATGATGCAGGGTTGGCTGACGTGATTCATTTGTGGGTGTGGGGAAGGGATATGAAGGCTGGGATCTTTCTCACATGGCAGATAAACGTGGTTGGTACCGTTTCCTCCCGGACCAGGGGCTGCAGTGACTCTGCTGCCTAGAACTCCCTGGAGTTCTAGGAAAGCTGAGGGCTACCCTCTGCCTCTACTGCGGGACTCAGTCCCCTTGGTCCACGGCCCTTCGTGGTGGGATGCAGTGACGTGTCCCTCTTGATCTTTCCTCAGGGATGTGTGTACTCTCCGTCTGCCCCTGCCCCTCTTTTCCTAATGTGTGATGTGTAGAATCAGACTGTTGAATGCCTCCAGCCTAAATCATTATTTTCCCAGTCTGATCCCTCAAACAGAACAAAGGATCTCCATGCGTGTGTGTCTGTGTGTGTGTGCATGTGTGCACGTGTGCGTGTGTGTCTGCATGGGATGGTGTTACAAACGGTGCCCTGTGCAGGCATTTGATAAACATTTCCTGGATATTGGAATGTGATGGAAGCTCCATCATGACTATTCAACATGTCTCTACTACACAGAGATCTAAGTCCTAACGTCTGTTTATTGCTGTTTGTGGTCAGTGGAGTAGCTCGTGGTTGTGGCATCTGGACCCTCCCTCATAAAGCCTCTATTCAGAGCAGCACCAGATGTGGTGAGGGAATGCCACAGAAAGAAAGGCTCCTTCTTCTCTTGATGTCTGCTGTCTAGCAAATATTTTCTGAACGTGGATATAGCTTGAGAGAGAGGTAGGGGAGGGGAGCGTGGAGATTCAAGGGTCTCCCCTTTTTGAGCCTGTCCTTTCTGATGGGCCTCTTGAGTGCTGTGCGAGGCTCCCCCAGTCTCTCCCTTTCTGCTGGGCACACAGTGACGTGGTGCATCCACTGTGGGTCCGGGAAGCGTCTAAAATCAGGGCCTGCCTCTGTTCTATTTCTACAGGGAACTACCCCTGCTCTGTCTTCTGAGTTGGTCTTTATTTTCCCACATGCTAGTCTACCTTTTATAATTTGATTCTCAAGGGTAATTATGTTTACTGTGTCATTTGGAAATGTACTTCTGGGCGTTCTCCCCTTAGGATCCTCAGCCGACATGCGTGTGTTTTTTCTCTCCTTTTTCTTGTGTCCAGTCGGCTTCCTTTTGCTTTCAATGGCAAAGGTAACTGTAGAAAAATTGGGACTTATACAACAGCACAGACACACAAAGAAAACAAATTCTACTGGAAGCACAGTACCTAGTGATAATTATTGTTAACTTTTTGATATATACCATTGTGAGGTTTTTTTTTTCTCCTGTATATAGTGTCTTAATATTTAAGATGTCAGTGAAACAAAATTGAGATCATACATGATCATATTATTTTGCAACATGCCTTTTTTTATCTTCAGAATTTATTAATATAGAGACTTCCTTGATGGTTCAGTGCTTAAGACTCCCTGCTTCCACTGTAGGGAAGTCTTAAGTAGGAGGCATGGGTTCAATCCCTGGCCGGGGAATTAAGATCCTCATGTTGAATGGTATGGCCATTAAAAAAAAAAATTTAGAATGTGTTAATATATCTTTATTTTAATTGTGATAAAAAACACATAACATAAAACTCATCGTCTTAACAATTTAAAAATGTCGAGTTGAGTGTCATTAATTTCATTCACATGATTCTGTAGCCATCATCTCCATCCATCTCCAGAGCTTTTTCATCTTGCCAGACTCGAACTCTGTACCCATTAAACAGAAACTTCCTCGCTTCCCTCAACCTCCACCATTCTACTCTCTGTCTCTCTGAATCTAGACATTGCCTATAAGTAGAATCATGCCCTTTTGTGTCTTTCTTCTTTCACTCAGCATAATGTCCTTAAGGCTCATTCACGTGGCGTGTATCAGAATCACCTTTTCTCTCTTTTTTTAAAATTTATTTTAATTATCTTGGTCAAGCTGTGTGGCTTTCAGGGTCTTAGCTCCCCAACCAGGCATTGAACCCGTGCCCTCAGCAAGGAAAGCGCAGTCCTAACCACTGGATCATCAGGCATGTCCCTGGAATCATCTTTTTAATGTTGAATAATATTCCATTGTATGGATACACCACATTTTGTTGATCCATCCATCCATTAAAGGACACTTGAACCACTACTTTTTTTCCTGTAGTGAACAGTGCTGTTGTGAACATGGGTGTGCAAATATCTCTTCAAGTCCATGCTTTTAGTTCTTTTGGAAATATATTCAGAAGTAGAATAGCGGGATCATGTGGTAATTCTCTTAATTTTTTGAGGAACTACCATACTGTTTTCTGTCACTGCTGTACTATAAAATATATCAACATAACTTTAACTGTTCTTCAAAAGTCAATTTTTTTTTCAAAAGTCAATTTTTGATGTCTGTCTGGTAGTCGTCTGTCAGATGACTACGTGAAAATTTAAGGTTGAACACTTGAGTAATTTTCAGTGGTCAAAGATAATTTTCACAGTCACAGATAATGCTGTGATGGTACTCTTACAAGTTTACAGAGTTTTGTACCAGTTGTTGAAAATTTGTGTTAAATTACTGAACACTGACTTGCTGGGTTTAAACATTTTTCAAGGCTTTGGACACATATTGCAAGATTACTCTCCGGAGAAGTTCTCCCTGTTTATCCTGCCATCAGTTGTTGCCGACATGGCTGCTTTCTATTGTACTTTGGCATTTCTTGGATTTGTTTGTAAGAAGAAAAAAAATGTGTGTGTGTGTGTGTGTGTGTGTATTTGATAATTAACATTATGCCAGATTTGCTTCATCTATTTATTTTTGGCTGCAGCATTTTATTATTTATTTATTTTATTTTTATTAAAAATAATTTTGTTTATTATTTATTTTATTTTTGGCTGTGCTCGGTCTTCGTTGCTGTGCAGGGGGCTCTAGTTGTGATGAGCAGTGGCTACTTTCTAGTTGCAGTGTGCGGGCTTCTCATGGCAGAGGCTTCTGTTGTGGCTTCAGTAGTTGTGGGACGCGGGTTTAGTTGCTCCTTGGCACGTGGGATCTTCCTGGACCAGGGATTGAACTGATGTCCCCTCCATTACAAGGTGGAATCTTAAACACCGGACCACCAAATTAGCCTTGGCTTCAGTATTTTAAAGTAAATTACAGATGTTTCAAGCTCTTATCCTAGATTCTTCAGCATGCATCTAATTAAAAAAGGACTTTTTTTTTAAAAAACATAATTACTTTTTTTCTTTTTACAAAAGTACCATTGTCACATCTGGCAATATTTACATAAATTCCTCATTATCAACTAATACCCAGTTCACCTTTGAGTTCGCCGTTTATCTCAAGGTGTTGTTTTACAGTTGGTTCCCCTGAACCGGATTTGGGCAAGGTCCCCTCACTCGTTTTGGCTGTGACGTTTTCGGAGTCCCTCTGCCGCCACTCCACTTTTTTAAGGCTGTGATTTACTCCAGGAGACAGAATGTTTTTTAAAACTGTGTTTGTTGCCTTATTAATGTCCTTTGCTCATTTTTGTACTGAAATTTACTTATACTGCATTTATTTTATTTATACTGCATTTTAAGTTTATTTATACTGCATTTTTCTGTCTTGATTTTGAAAGAGCTCTTTATATATTAAGGCTGTTATTCTTTGTTTTATAATTTTTGTTTTCCCAGTTTATCATTTGCATTTTAATTTTGCAATCTTTTTTCTTAAAATTTTTTCCATACAGATGTTTTAAACATTTTGTAGTCAGATCTGTCACCTTTTATGTTTTCAGCCTTTCTTTTATGTTTTGAAAGACTTTCCCTTATTCTGAGAACAGGTAAATGATTACCTCTATTTTCCTCTAGTTTACTGTGATTTTGTTTTTTTAACTTAATTCTCCATCCAAATGAATTTATTTTTGTGTTCACTGTGAGTAGGGATATAATTTATTTTTTATTCTATTTTTTAAAAAACTGGAATGTAATTGCTTTACAATGTTGTGTTAATTTCTTCTGTACAACATCATGAATCAGCCATTTGTATACATATATCCTCTCCCTCTTGATAAGGATCTAATTTAATTTTTCCAAATATTTAACTGGTTACTTTAGCACTGCTTATTGAATCTATATCCCCAGTGACTTGAGTTGCTACCTTAAGCGTATATTAAAAACATATGTATATCTGGGCCTGTATGGGGACTTTATGTTTCATTTGTTGTTTAGTTTCTAAAGTATCTATTTATGTATTTGCTCTGATCTTAGTGGCAGTGCATGGAATCTTTTAATTTCGGCTCGTGGGATCTAGTTCCCTGACCAGAGATCAAACCCGAGTCCCCTGCATTGGTAGCTTGGAGTCTTAGCCACTGGACCACCAGGGAAGTGCTTGTTTGTTTTTTTAATTGGCCTTTTTAAATCACTTTGTCTTAGCTATTATAACTGACAGTTCAAGTTTCTCTTCTTTTCAAAATCTTCCTGCCTTTTTTCTTTGCATTGATGATACCATCACATGAACTTTATTTTATTGGGTTCTCCCCTCTTTCTATTCTCCTACCCCAAGTCCCTTGAGATTTTGTTGGAATCCTGTCATATGTAAAGTTTCCTTTATGGGGAACTTTAATACTGATTCTTCCTATGCAGGAACATGGAATGTCTTTAAATTCACTCAAATCATTTTGATGTTATCTTCAGATAGATTCTTTTAATTTTTAAAGAAGCTTTGATATTATTTTCAGTGGGATCATTTCCTACTGTCTTTTGACTTAATGTTTATTATTGCTATTGACTATCAGTGTCTGTATTTTTTATAGTCAGTAAGTTGCTGACTTCTTAGTATAGACTTTCAACAGTTTCTTTTGGATTTTTTTTTGGTAGACATTTTTTTTTTTTAATGTGGGCCATTTTTAAAGTCTTTATTGAATTTGTTACAATATTGCTTCTGTTTTTCTGTGTTTTGGTTTTTTTGGCCATGAAGCATAGGGTATCTTAATTCCCTGACCAGGGATCAACCCACACTCACTGCATTGGAAGGCAA